GTCCCCACAGCAGCAAATTCTGCGCCCGAGGTGGGGACGGCAACGTGGGGACACGGCGATTCGCCCCCCCCGGCAGCACCGCGGAACGTGGGGACACGGCGATTCGCCCCCCCCGGCCTGGCAGCACCGTGGGCACCGGTTTTGGAGTACCTTCGGCCCTGGCTGAACAGTGGAGGATCACCTCGGGGTTCCACTCTCTCTGGGATCCCCGAGACCACAGAGCCAAGACACACAAACGGGGCTCAACATGCCCCAGCAATGTAGGGGGGGTGACAAGTGACAGCTCCCTGTGGTGGGATCTCTCCTGAGGAGGGGGTGAGTGTTGGACCCCCTGTAACAACACTGTCTGAAGGGATAAGATAGAGCCAGAGTGAGACGCAGAGGAGAAGGTCTGGGCTGAGCAGGGCACAGCGCTGCTGCTGGAGCGCAGCGCGGCGCTGGCGGGGGCACTGGGCAGTCAGTTATCCCTGCTCTGACGCCTGGATTAGGTGTCCCTACGGTCAGGTTTCCTGGCCTTCCTCCTGCTGCCAACAGCAGCCCGGGGATCAGCACTTGGACCTCCCCAGCCACCAGCACCATCTCAGTCCCTAAACCCCCCTAGGCTGATTCCCAGCCTGGGAGGAACCTGGGCTAGGCTTGAAAGGCCCTGGTCTGGTCTGGAAGGGATTTGGGCCTATCTGGAAGGGACCTTGACAAGTCTGGAAAGGGCCTGCCTGGGTCGGTTTGGGAGGGGTCCCCGGAGGCTGCCGCACACATCCTGGCATGGTCCTGGTTCTGCCAGTAACTCATTCTCCCTCCAGACACACGGGTCTGTGCGGCCTCCGGCTCACCCGGCTGTCCCTGGCACCACATGGGAGCCTCGGGCCCAGCCCAGCCGGAACTTCCTGAACCTCACCAACAAGCGGAAGGAGTACTCAGAGCGGCGCATCATTGGGTAGGTGCAGGGGTTTGTGGCGGGTACACAGCACGACCCCAGCTCCAACGCCCACTATGCCCACAGGTACTCCATGCAGGAGATGTACGATGTGGTGGCCAATGTGGAGGACTACAAGAACTTCGTGCCCTGGTGCAAGAAGTCGGTGGTGGTGTCGCGACGCTCGGGCCACGTCAAGGCGCAGCTGGAGGTTGGCTTCCCGCCTGTGCTGGAGTGCTACACATCCATCGTCACCCTCGTCCGCCCGCACCTTGTCAAGGTGAGTGCAGCCATGGCACTATGTTCTCGTTGACAAGGTGGTGCTTGGTCAACGGTTGGACTTGATGACCTCAGAGGTTGTTTCCAACCTCAGTGGTTCTGTGATTCAGTGACTCCGGTGGATCCTGGGCCGCCCTGACCAGTGCTTCCCCCCTACCGACGGGCGCATCTTCAACCACCTGGAGACCAACTGGCGCTTCAGCCCTGGCATCCCTGGCTACCCACGCACCAGCACTGTGGATTTCTCGGTACGGCCCTGCTCCGGGTGGTCGCTGGGGGCTTCACCCTCCCAGGGAGGGTGGACGGACAGCCATCTGCTCACCTGCTGCTCTCCCCACCCAGATCTCCTTCGAATTCCGCTCCCTGCTCCACTCCCAGCTGGCCACTGTCT